ATAATTTGGTTGATATCATTTGGTATTTGAGCAACTAATAAATCAAATAATTCTGATACTTTATTACATTTCTTACAATTAGATTGATGAGGTTTTGAGCATTGACCAAATGTGTTTTGAAGACAATATTCAAGATATTTAACATGTGAGGTATATCCAAATGAATCTACTTGTAATTCCTTTTCATATTCATGTTTTAAATGTCTTTGTATATGTTCAAGATTATCAATAAGTTTATTCTAAAAAAAAAAAAAAAAAATTATTATTAATATCCAATTTGTAATATTATATTTCTAAAGTTATTTTTTGTTATAGGTAATTAAGATTTATAATTGTCCTTAAAGTATTCAAAACAACATCTGAAGGACTATATATATAATTCATACCAACAAGTAGAGATATATATTATTTTTGATTGCTCTAATTATAGGTATAAAAAATGCATTGAAAAGATTCTAACTGAAGTTAAGTTTTAAAATTATTTATTATATTCATATAATATAAATAGGCTCACAAAAACTTATCTGTAGATGCCAACAGATACTATATATAAGTGCTATTAAGGGAGAACTTGTTATCAGGCTTTCAATTATATTTTGTATGCAGCTTGTTCCCTAAGTACTATTTAGGAAAAATTTTTATTATCGGGTCTTTAATTATATTTTATAATAAGTCATTACAAAATATAATTAAAAATCCGATAACAGGTTTTCTTTTGGTAGCACTCATATATACTCAATAGTGTTGTCTATTTATATTGCAGATTAGCTCTAAGTTATATTGATAACAATATCTGTGATCATTTATTGCGTTTGTATTTTTATTTTGTGAAGTTTTAATAATAAGAAAATGTCTTATATTTTTCTTTTTTTGATCTAATTTCAAGGGTTCTATCACATAATCTAAAATATTGACAGTTTATAACTAATATAATTCAAACAAAAACAGTTCATAATCCTGACAGAGATAGATTTTAATAGTTCATAATTCTGAAATACTGATAAATTCTGATAGTTTACGATAAAATATTAAAATACTATCAAAATTTTATTTATTTTAGGAACTGTTAGAATCTGATCTCTATTAGTTTTGATGCAAAATTCTGATATCAAAAATCTTAACAGTCTATAATCCCAATATACATAATATTAACAAGAACTAAATTTTAACAATTTATAATCTCAAAATAGACAAAATTCTAATATTTCTATTATGAACTATAAAGATTTAGTTTGAATTTCAAAATTATAAACTGTTGAGATTTGGTCTTGTTAAAATTATACATGTCGGGTTTATAGATTATTTCAGAATTTTATGACAAAATTCTTTAGATACAAATGCATATACTTACTTGTTCATTTTTATGTACTATTTTGTTATTAATTAGCTCCTTTAAATTGTCAAATATATTGTAGCCATATTCAGCGCATGTAAGACACAAGCCGCCTAGATCATTCTTATAACAGTAAGGTCTATCTCTTAGTCATGTTAAAAATGTAGTTCTTTTTATTCCATTTGGATATAATTCAAAATATTTCTGCCACAATATTTCCTTTTGATCTTTGAGATATTTTAATGATAATCCATATTTGTCTACTTTGTAAGAACTTAAATTTACTATATTCTTATCAGAAAAAAAATTTTCAAATTGCTTTTCGCTTTCTTCACTAATGCGAACTCTTGTAATTGTAGGCTTGTTATGTGTTAAACACCTAGGACCATTAATATTACAGTAAGTTCGAGCTTTGGCAATTGTTTTAGAAGGAATCTATTGAATAATAAATTATTAGAAGTAAATAAAATATAGATATTTTATGTAAAATAAATTTTATACTTTAAAATTTTGCTGAAGTTCTTCATAACTAAAATTATTGGCGATTATTGAAAGAATTCTAATTTTTCTATCTATTCCATTTTTGTTTTCATCTAGAGATCATTGAAAACATTTTTAAAATTTGTCATTATTATTAATCACATAATTTGGTATAGTATGCAAAAATCTACTATTATGCAAAAGTTGTAAAGTATTTTGATCTATATGAGAAGTAAAACTATGTGACCAAAATTCATACTAAAATAAAATTATTTTTTAGCTTGTTATATTAGAGTTTTACTATATATATATTATAATCTTACTTCTGATTGATTCTTTTTAAAAGGTGTTATATTCGTACATCCACTTGCTTTTAGCATAGTTCTCTAAGCACACAATTCACGTTCACTAAACACATATTGGGATAGATATAATTGTTGTAATTTTTCTCGCAATTCAAGAATTGGGCTTTGTTGAGTTAACCATTTATGAAAAAGGGTTTGCCAGTTTATATTTGAAATAGTTTTTTTTTGCAAATAATAATTATATATATTACTCATTAAAATTTTATCATTCCACATATCCGGAGTACAAGTTGGTTTATGTTGATTATTTATAATTTTTTGAGTTAATGAATGTTCAAGTCCAAATAGTTGTGTTCTACGAAATTTTTTATTTAAGCCAACATTTTTCCAAACATCATTGGGAGTTTTTCTAAAATAAAAATTGGTTCATATTCTGATGAGTAGATTGCAACTTTACAATTATCTTTTTCAATTGTTTGAACAAATAATGCTTGTATTTTTTAAATTCACCAAAAAAAGATGACATATATCCGATACCAGCTCCCATTATATCTATATTGTTTCCAATTCCTAAACTAATTATATATAGTAAGAATTTTTCAATTTTAAAAGCAAATAGACGAAATTGAACACCTTCTAAAGATAATTCTAATAATTCACTATTATCCCATCCTAATACATATGAACCAGAAAATTTGGTTTTAGAGTTTGAAAAAAGTTTATAATACAAACTCGTAATCGCTAAACTTGAGATTACTTCAATATTACTATAATTGCTACCTGACTGACTTCTATATCCTGGTTCTGTTTCATTAAATTCGTGTCCTTCTGTAATATGCATATAAAACCATTTATTATTTTGTTCAAAAACAGTTTGCCAACCAATTCGAATAGGATAAAGAAAAACACCCTTGTTTATTAAACTATCATTTTTTATTATCCACCAATTATGAGAATTAACACCATAATGCAAACTAGGCATTATTTGACCAAAAGAAATAAGTTTTATACTTAAATAAGGCCTTTTAACCATATTTTATAAATTCAAATGAGATTCTGGTTAAAGATTCTGAAGATATATACTTCTTTTATATATTAATTATCCCGAATAATTACTATTAAAATTGATTTGTAGATCTTTCCATTTTTAGCGAATTACGAATTAAAGAAAATTTTAATAAGTAAATCCCTCTTGAGCTTCTAAATAAAGTTGTAGAGGAGACTTTTCTAGTTCTAATGGTGGTTAGATCACCAAAATTGGCATCTCAAGATATTTAGAGTTAAAGATGCGAATATAAAGATCTTTAAATTAGTAGTTACACAAAGTATTATAAATTATAATACTGTAACCACCAATTTGAAGATCCTTATGTTTGCATCTTTAACTCTAAATATCTTGGGATCCACAAAGCCAATTTTGATGATCTAACCACCATTAGAACCAAAAAAGTCTCTTCTACAACTTTACTTAGAAGCTCAACAAATCCTAACTTAATAAAAACTTCTTTAATTTTAAAAAAATTGATTTTTTATATTAAATCTTTATGTTTATTAACTTAATAAAAACTTCTTTAATTTTTAAAAAATTGTTTTTTAATATTAATTTTATATTATTGGTTAAACTAAAAATAGAAAATATTGTGTAATCATAGTAGAAATAGCAATTTTCTATGATAAAAATAGTAGATCCCTTATTATATTATTATATATTAGTTTTATATATATTTAAATAGAATATTATATAACATTAATATAGAAACATTTTGATTAGCTATTAGAAGTATAGCATAGTCACATGACCTCACATGATCTCAGATTACACAAGATTACACAAGAGAGTACTTTGGGTTAAACAAAGAAGTAATACAAGAAAGTAATACAAGTTCTCCCAAGTTCCCTCACATGAAGTCCCTCAAGTTCTAAGTTTCACTTTACAAACAATAAATAAAATATAAACAAATTGAGTAATGTTTATATTCCCCCAACTTCCCTCAGTACAATCACCCAACTTACTCCAACACAATTCTCCAACTTTCCCCACTAATATTACTCATCCCCCAATATCTCCTTACATACTATATACCTTTTCTTTGGACAGAAAAGATATATAAAGAGTGTCTTTTCACCTCTATAAGGTTCTATACTTGGGTGTGGCGACTTAGTGAAGTGGTAAAGTTGTTGCACCCCCAAGTAGCAGGACCAGAGTTCGAATCCCACCGGTGACGAAATTCGAATTTACAGAAAATGCATTTGGATGACTGTATCCTATTGGGTTATAGAACCTGTAATGGGATTACACCAGCTTGTATTGGGAGGCAGTAGAACAATAGGTGTAACATATAAGTTGCACAGCAGTGAAGCTGCTGAATAAATCTAGCGGATTGACAGGATACAGGAGCCTGCTTGAGAAGATCTGAACAGAAAGGTAGCACAGATCTTCAACAGTATTATCTAAGGAAAGTGCCGTTTATTACATAATTTAAAGGAGGTGGAAGAGGGGGTAACAGGTCTATCACATATGATATATTGACCTAGATTAACCAATCAAAAAATATCACATGCATTGATTTAGATTAACCGATCATATGCATTGATTTAGATTAACCAATAAAAAGTAGCAATAGTTGTATGTACATATACATAGAATCAATTTTGCAACTCATAGCATTCTCATTGAGTCAATCAGACTATTTTGTTACTTTATAGCTATTTATTTAATTACCAAGTATAAATACATATAGATTTCGTTTAGAATATACCAAAATATTACAATATAAGAATTTTAAATGTACTGAAAAAAAAAGTTATAAAAAAATAAAGACATTGTATAGTGTTTTAAGCTTCCGAAGTATTTTGTATTATTTAATATTTTTTTTATTCACTTATTCAGTATCAGAAAGTGCATCCCGTGATTCAACATCTGATAAATAGAATGGATCAGTAGAGGGTAGAATAGAAAAGTCCTCCACAAATGCTGCATTGCTTAGTTGAATTTGATATGTATTAAGATAATCTAGCAATGTAGCAACTTCATTTGGAGAGAAATATAGCAATGTAAATTCTGGTGAAGGAATTGAAATAGAATTAAGGTTATGTGTAGAGGTTTGATGTGTATTAAGATAATCTAACGCTGCAGTGACTTCATCTGCAGAGAAATACGGTGATGTAAATTCTGGTAAAGGAATTAAAATAGAATTAAGATTATGTATAGAGGTTTGATTCATATCATGTTTGTGATTTTTTTTAGAATGGAATGACTTTTTATGGTTAGTAATCATTTTTATTGTAGGAAAATATTTGCTGCATACATTGCAGCAAAGCCTTTGATGCATTTGCGCTGATAATGAAGGACAAGCTTCATCATATTTTAGTAGTTTTCTTTGTCCATGTATTGTAAAGTATGAATCAGATTTAGATAGTGACCATCTTTTTCTTTTATAAGTGGTAGAAAAAATCTATTGTTTTTCTTTAATAGGTCGGCTGCTTCCTTTGCATGAATCTTATCACAACAATTTTGGTTAGAACATTTTCTTATATCAAGAGAATAATGGCAGATTTGTGTATGATGTTCTATCCATAATTATATTACAGGATCTTTTTTATTATTTTGAAATAGATCTTCATTATGATCAATATAATTAACATGAACTTTTTTTCTATGAATATTATCATGGCCCCAAATTTTGTACAAGCACTGACCAGCAAACTCAAAGTTGCGCTTTGCCAAATCTTTATTCACAACTATACCCTGACTATTAAGATGTAACCCAAACTTATCAATTGGCAGCTCAATCTCAGCAAGTTTTCAGAAAGAGTATACATGCTACGTTCAACTGGATTATAAGCAGATTGTAAAGAAGCATGTGTATGAACTGAAAGATAGTCAAGATCAAGTTTACAGAAAAGACAATAATATTTAATAATATTTTTTAAATGTTTTAGGTTTTCGTCGGACCTCCATTAACTAATAAAACCAATATAGATCTAAGGTGCCTTTCACTTTTAAATACTTGTGTATAGTTATCACTCTTTATAATATCAATTAAATCTCTCATATATGACATTGAAGAGGTCCCAGCAAAATATTCTGGCTTAATATAAATAGATAATTGACCTTGTCTTAGTGATCCATTTGTTTCATCAGGATTAATAATAAGGTAAACTGAAGGTATAAGTTTTTGTTTTGCTCCATGAGGAAAATCGTGATCAGAAATAGTAACAGGTTCATTGAAAGATTGAAGGCTTTGAAAAGTTCTACTAACTGCTGATATACCTAGACTAATCTTAGCTTTATCATCTTGGAAGATGATAATGCTATTATTAGAAAAAGTTGAAGCGAACTCCCTAGCCATTTTAACTGATACAAGGCAATAGTGTTGGTCAATATGAAACTTCATTTCAGACCGAGATACTGCAGCGATTTTGATATTTGCAGGATAACGGTGACGAAGTGCATTACGTGTATTGACATGTCGGGCAAAAGGTATGTTGAAAGTGTTTGACAAGCAATATAAACATTATATTTTTCTTGTAAAGTTTCTTTTAAATGTTTTATAATACGGACTTTAATTGTGATTTTTCTTCTTTTTTTATCTGCTGCACCAAATTCAATGCATTTATGCATTTGATCAAACAATTCAGGATTCTTTTGGAACTCAGATGGATGTCCTCTTGAGTCAAACATTTCAACAATACCTTCTTCATCAAGTTGTCTTCGTTTTTTTTCTCTATATTTTTCTTGAGATACAGCATGTCGTTTAAATAAACTAAGATGATTTCTTTTCTTTTCAATAACAGTGCGGGTGTCTTTTAATTTTTCATATATTTGGCACCAAAGATCCTTATCACTAGTACTTGACAATAGATGCTTATATTCAGTTACTTTAGATTCAGCTTCTTGAATTAGTGTTAATGAATTGCGTTGAGCCGGTGCATTAGAGGCAATAGTATCTGATAATAAAGAGCTTGACTTCAAAATTGAAGTTGATGATTTTGAACTAATTGAGTTCAAAGTTAATGATTCTGAACTAAATAAGTTAAGCAAATTGGGTGGTAAAAAAAAAAATATTATTCGAACAATAGATGGGCTGGATATAAAATATTGATTGATTTGTCTTTTAGTTGTTGCTTCAGATTCCTTTCGATATTTTTTCTATTCTTTGTTCGCTGCGTTCATCAAATCTTGTCATTTTATACTTGGATTGCAAGATTTAACCATCATGAAAAATGCAAAAGCATTACAAAATTTATGATATAAAGTTGTAAGATTTGCATATAAGTAAGTTTTTGAAAACTTAGGCGTGGAGAGAAAACTTTAAGCCATATTAGAACGTTATATGTAATATAATAATGTTTTGAACTTAAAGGTAATGTAGAGTATTTCTTTTTATTATGCTTTTATAACAAAACATATCTTTACCCTAGATTTAATGATACTTTATTTAGGAGGTTATACACAAGGGCTAATGTAAGTTTTCATTAATTCATTAATTCATATTTACTACGTAAGCAGTTCTATCCTTCTCGCACCTGCGACTACACATTATATATATTTTATATTAATAAAAATAAATTATTTGATTTAATTTGGCTTTATTTAGTAGATTCTCGCTATGATTATTTTTCGGAGACTGTGTTAAGTTTTTTGTTGATTCTTACAATTAATCTTTTTTAATTATCTTTTTGCCAATATTGAGATTCTCAACTACTCACTATACCAAGTTTGGATTTGCTCTATATTAACAAATATATTACTATAGATCTAATTTTACTTTATTTAGGAGGTTTACGCATCACTATGACTTCTTGAGGTGTTGAAATGTTAGTTTTTCATTCTTATTTTTTTATTTTATTAATTTTTTTAACCGCCTTCTTATACAATATGTGAATATCGCCATGCACTATATCAGATTAGGTAATATGATTGATTTGCTTTGCATCTTCTCTTGCATGACAATAATCAATATCTTCTATTTAGGCTTGTCCTATTTTTGGCTATAATTTTCACGTGTGCTTACACTTGGATTAAATTTTTTGTTAACCTTTTATAGTATTATTCAAAAAATTATCACAAACAATTTGGATTTGTATTAGAAATGTGAATTGGCCTATTCGGAAATCAGTTTTTTATTAGATGTATATAAAGTCAATTTACATATCTAGTTTATACTATTAAAAGAATTTATAAGTTTCATTTCTAGTTCATATTTAATTGCAAGTGAAGTTGAATTAGATAAGAATATTCTTATTTATTAAGAACGATTATTAGTTTTGCTAAAAAATGTGAATAGTGTAATGTATCTTTGGTAAAGTTTAAAATACTTTCACACAAGATGATTACAAAATTGTTATTTATCTCACGATATTTAAATATTAATATTGTAATGAGCGCTGCTGAAAAAGAATGCGAATGATTAAAAGAATGTTCCAACCAATAATTCTAGTTAGTGATTGTGTTTAAATTAATTTTAATCACATAGTTGAAATGATCAGAAGAATAAATTAGAAAAATTTTTTGGACATGTATTCTACAAATACAGTTAAAGCTTGAAGTAACGAATTTCTCTGTAGCGAATATTATATTACAATTACGTGTTTGGACATATAAATTTGTATTCTTATATCTGAAGATTTCTATATGTCGAAGGTATTTGATCAGTTTTTGAACTTGTTATATCAAACTTTGACCATAGTTCGAAAACCTGCTATATCATTATAAAAAAAGTTCTATAATTAGATATATAGGCAATCCTCAAATAAATTTGGTTAATTTGATTGGTTAATAATGAATATAAATGAGCCAATCACATGAATATTGATCACATTTTGAATCTAAATTATCACTAGGGGGGGGTCTGGCCTTATATTAAAAATAAATTACGTAATAAACAGCACTTCTCTAATAATCTGAAAAGAGGGACCTAGATGGCAGGAAAAGGGGAACTGAACGGCAAGAAAAGGGGAAACTGGATGGAACTGAAGTGTTTGGCAAGACACTTCACCAACCAGGCCGCTGGCTAAGTAAACAGAGGAAAAGGACCCAATCGTGAGTACTAGGGGCAGGTCACAGCCCTTTTGGGCTATCTAAATTGAAAGTTTGGTGAACCAGAAGTAGGGCTTAGTTTGGAAAACTGGAAGTAGGGCTTAGTCTAGAAAACCGGAAGTATGAGTTATTAAATATATACTAGAGTTTGAGTGAACTTTGCAAGGGCACAGAGTAGGTAATGGTAGCAGCTTCAGCTTGCAAGTACTTGGCCTTGGTCTAGGCATAAGTTACTAAAAATCTAGGTGATACATATGTGGGACATGGACCGCTTTAGTAGGTTTACTACAAGGTTAAAGGACCTTTCTATATAGAAGTGTGTGTCCGCTTTAAAAACTTAGTAGGCCTTAGCGGCAGATTCCTCTTTAGAGAAGATATCTGATGGCATGAAGTTGATCAGAGAGTTTAAATGAGTAATCTCATAGTTGGGTTACA